TCTTTCCTCCTTCCTGCCCATCCCTGGATCCACACAGTTAAATGCCTTTGCACAGTCAATATACCATAAATACACATTCTTCTGGTATTCTTTACTTTGAACTGGGATCCATCTGCCATGAGCATTGATATCCCTGGTACCCTGGCCTCTTCTAGATCCTGCTTGAATGTCTGGAAGTTCCCTATCTATGTACTGTTCTAGCAGTTTTTGAATGATCTTCAGCAACAAGTTAGGGCTAACATTGAGAAGTGTGGAAGGCCAAGAGGCTGTTGTGTGAATAGAACAAGGGAACACTTGTTATTGTTGTTGTTGAGTGCCGTTGAGTCATAGATGACTCATAGCGACCCTATGAACTTAAGACCTGAGTACTGTTCATAGAGTTGCCAGAGGCAAGCCATTTCTGAAGTGGTTGCCACTCCTGCTTCCAAGCTTGTTTTAATTAAGAAGAGAGTGTGTCAGTGTTGAATTCTCTCTGTATACCTATTTAATCTGCGTGCTAAGCAAATGATCCAAGCAGCTGGACTCTGAAAAGGAATATGGCATCAGGATCAGAGGTAAACTTATTAGTAACCTGCATTATTCAGATGACACAACCTTGCTGCATTATTCAGATGACACAACCTTGCTTGCTGAAAGTGAGGAAGTCTTAAAACTCATTGTGGAAGATCAAAGAATACAGCCTTCCGTATGGACTGCATTTCAATGTCAATAAAACAAAGATTCCACGGTACCGATAGGCAACATCATGATAGATAGAGAAAAGATTGAAAGTGTCAACAAATTCCTCTTACTTGGATCCACAATCGGCACCCTTGGGGCCAGCAGTCAAGAATCAGGAGGAAGTCTTCAGCACTGGGAAGGTCTTCAGTTAGGGACCGCTCCAAAATGTTGAGGGAGGAGTAAGGATGTCAGTTTGGAGACTAAGGTACATCTGATTCAGGCCATGGTGTTTCTGATTATTTGCTGTGCGTCTGAGAGCAGGACAGTGAATAAGGATGATTTGATCAGAAGAAGAATTGATGCCTCTGAGCTGTGGTGTTGGAGAAGAGCACTGAACATCCCATGGACGGCCAAGAGAACAAACAGATATGTCTTAGAGAGGGTAAAGTCAGAGCAAGAATGAGGCTTTGCTTCAGGTACTTTAGGTATGTTGCTAGGAGGGGCTATTTCTTGGAAAGGGACACGATGCTCGGAAAGGTAGAGGGTCAGCAAAGGATGAAGGAAGACCCTCGTTCAGGTGGATTGACATAGCAACTGCTAATGTGTCAGGAAATGTGAGGATGGCACAGGATACAACAGGGTTCAGATCGGTTGTTCATACGGTCCTAAGGGTCATGATCAACTTGATAGCACCTACCGACGACAACAACAGCAGCAGCCCATCTCTGGTAACCATAAAATAAGCTTACATTTCTATACATTTGCTTATTTCTTCTTAAATCTGGTGATTTTTAGTAATGTAAATGTGAAGCATATAAAGATACTTTTGGAGATTTTTTTTTTTTTTGGTCAAGCTCCAGCCTCATATTTTAGAAAGAGAAATATGAATTTACATAGAAGACGGAGTAGGGAAAACTTGTTTCTTAATTAGATCTGAAGTGTAACCATTATGAGATTTTTAGAATTCATCTATCCTGTAATTTCCCCTCATTCCACTTTAGTAATTTAACCTGTGGATATACTCCCCCCCTTTATGGATATACTTTTTAGATTATTTATTTAATCACTCTTTGTTGTAGAAGGTTGCAACTAACTTAAATATCTCTCAACAGGGATATTTGTAATTAGAATACATACCTTTCCTTTCTTTCTCATTACTATCAAGTTGGAGCTGACTCATAGCTGACCCTCTAGCAGGGTTTCAGAAGTTGTAAATCACGTAGGAAGAGATTGCTCATCTTAATACTGCAGAGCTGGTGGATTTGAACCATCTTCTTTTGGGTTTATAGTATAACTCCCTATCAGAAATCTTTATGATAAATATACATTCAAGAATATCCCAAACCCAAGCGAGCTCCCTACAATAAATGTACACGCAAGACTACACCAAACCCAGACGTCCTGCATTTGAGTTGATTCTGACTCACAGTGACCCTCCTTGAGGTTTCCAAGCTGTAAGCCTCTGTGGGAGGGGAATGCCCATCTCTCTGCCTTGGAGCACCTCATGAATTGAAACAGCCAGCTGTGCAATGTACTATCCCACCAATCACCTGGGCTCCTTTAGAAGAGTTTTTTTGTTGTTGTGTACCAACCCCTAGCTGACAATTGTCATCTTTCTCCTGTGGAGCTGCTGGTGGATTCAAACCGCATGCTTTTGGATTGACAGCACAATTCTTTACTACTAGGCCACCAGAGTTCCCTTTGTTGTTGTTACGTGCTATTGAGTCAACAGTGACTCATAGTAACCCTATGTACAATAGCTCTGAACCTTGCTCTCTGGAGGCAGTCACATTGTCTCCAACACACCTACCCCATTAACCTCATCACTGAGTCATCTCATTTTGGGGTTGTCTTCTCCTGAGCTGTCCCTCCACCCTTCCAAAATACTGTCTTCCCCAAGGACTGGTCCCTCCTGTCCAAGTACCTGAAGTATGTGAGATGGAGAATCAAAATCCTTGCCTCCAAGGAGCTACTTGATTTCACCCTCTCCAGGGCAGACCTGTTTGTTCTCTTAGCTCTCCAGCACCACAACTCAAAGACATTGATTCTTCTGTCATCCTCAGTCATTGTCTAGCTCTCTGACGTGTGGCAAGTAATTGCAGACCATGGCTTGGGTCAGGCACTAGACTGACATTGTTGCTCTTCAGTACTTTGGAGAGGTCCCAGACAGCATATTTTCCCAATGCCGTTTGTCTTTTGATTTCCTAACTGCTGGTGCCAAGAATGTTGATTGTGGTACCAAGCAAGTGGAAATTGTTAAAAATCTCAGTCTTCTCCATCTATCATGATGCTGCCAGTTGGCCCAGTGGTAAGAATTTTTGTTTTCTTGATCTTGAGCTTTAAATCCATATTGAAGACTATAGTCCTTGACCTCCTGCAGCGAACATCTCAGGTCCTCTTCAGTTTTGGCAAGCAAGATTGTGCCATTTGCATAACACAAGTTGTTGATGAGTCTTTCTCCAATCCTGATGCCTCATTCCTCTTCATAAAGCCCAACCTCCCAAATGATCTGTTCTGCATATAGAATCAAAAAGTATGGAGATAGGATGCATCCCTGATGTACACCTTTCCTGATTTTGAACCATGCAGTGTTTTCTTGCCCTGTTCTGACTGTTGCTTTTTGGTCTGAGTATAGGTTTCACATGTTGTTGTTGTTGTTGTTATGTGCCGTTGAGTCGCCTGCGACTCATAGCGACCCTATGTACAACAGCCCTAAACTCCACTCTGTCCTGTGCCAATCGCACTGTCTCTGACACTCCCATCCCAATTATCCCAGTCACTGAATCAATCCACCTCATAGAGGGCCTTCCTCTCCTGCGCCCTCCACCCTCCCAAGCATGATGTCCTTCTCCAAGGACCGGTCTGTCCTCACAACATGTCCAAAGTAAGTTAGACGGAGCCTCAGAATCCTTGCCCTGGAGAGATTTCACATGAGCATCATTAAATGTTCTGGGATTCCCATTCTTCTCAAGGTTAGCCACAATTTGTGGTGATCCACACAGTCATATACCTTTGCATAGTCAATGAAACACAGATATTTCTCTGGTACTCTTTGCTTTCAGCTAAGATCCATCTAACATTGACTGTAATATCCCTCATACCACAGCCTCTTCTACACCTATCCTGCACATCTGGCATTTCTTTGCTGATGTACTGTTCCAGTAATTTTTGTATAATCTTAAGTAGGATCTTGCTTGCATGTGATATTAGTGATATTGTTTGATAATTTCCACACTCTACTGGGTCAATTTTTTTGGAATGGGAATAAATGTGGTTCTCTTCCAGTCAGTTGGCCAGGTAGTTAGTTGTCCTCCAGATTTCTTATGGCATATTCCAGGGCAGCGTTTGTTTGTTGGAATATGTTACTTAGTATGCCATCAGTTCCTGGGGCTCTGTTGGTTTTTTTCCCAATTCCTTTAACTTCTTCCTTCATCATCATTGCTTCTTGATCATATGTTGTTTCATGAAATTCTTCTTTGTCAGCCAGTTCTTTTTGATACAGTGATTTTGTGTACTCCTCCCGTCTTCTTTTGATACTTTCTGGGTCATTCATTCAACATTCTGCCCAAAGTGAGGCTTGAATTTGTTCTTCAGTTCCTTTAGCTTAAGTAATGGCAAGAGAGTTCATCTCTTTTGATTTTCTGACTCCAGCTCTTTGCACATTTCATTATAATGTTTTGTTTTCCCTAGCCACCCTTTGAAATCTTCTATTAAGCTGGTCAGCCATAAAGAAGAGTAAACAAGCTGCTTAAGTAATAATGTAAATTTAAATTAAGTTCTTCATGATAAAATAAAGTATATATACTTCCTTATAATGTTGTTATGTTGTTGGGTTCCATCGAGTTGGAACTGACCCATAACTGACCCTCTAGTGGATTTTCAGAGTCTGCTAATCACAAGGGAGGAGATTGTCCATCCTTCTATGGTGCAGCTGGTGGATTCGAACCATGTGCCAGGAATCATAAACTGTAGGGGTTTTTTTTTCAGTTCATGAAATGAAACTGGGTAACTCAAGAGAATGAAGAGAAGAAAACTTTTCACTATAAATCCATTTGTAGCTTTTAAATTTAGTTAGATAAAAAAAATTAAAATTCACATACTTTATACTTAATTCACATACCGTGTGCTTAATTACTGAATGTAAATGTGAACATTTTAATCAAACTGAGAATTTTTAAATGACATTCCTAAGTAAACCTGATTATATATTAATATTTTCTTTATCTTGGTGCAGTGTAGATGAAGATAGTAGAAAGATTGTTTTAGAGTTGTCAACTTTATTTCTCTGCCATGTATACTAGAGAGAAATGAGCATTTCTTTGCATTGTTTCTTGGGACAGCATGCATATGCACTCGAGCTTCTATTTGACCAGCTGCATGAAGGAGCTAAGGCCCTGGATGTAGGGTCTGGAAGTGGAATCCTTACAGCCTGTTTTGCACGTATGGTAAGAACTTAATTTTTTATTTTAGCTTCAACAGAAACATATTACACACTTAAGCGCTTTCCTTTCTTACTAGCAGTTTATTTTGAAAAAAATAATATATTAGTTGGAATATATATCATTTGTAATATTTTTTTGGTTGCAAGTGATAGAACACTCAACTCAAATTGGCAAAGCCTAAATAACTCAGAGTCTAGGAGTGTATCCAGCTTCTAGTATGATTTACACCATTGATTTACCTTGATTTCTTACTGCAGAATATGACTTTAGCTAAGGAAGTCTGTTAAAGATGCTTTACAAAACAGATTAATCCAGTGAGTTAATTAGATTCTTCTTTTCTAGGTTGGCTCTAGTGGAAAAGTCATAGGAATTGATCACATTAAAGAATTAGTAGATGACTCAATAAATAATGTCAGAAAGGACGACCCGATGCTCTTGTCTTCAGGGAGAGTACAGCTAGTTGGTGAGTTTCAGAAACTTAAATATTTCTTCTGTAGAAAAGTAAAATTTTTAGAAAATAACATGCAATCTAAATATTATTCAGAACTAATTACTGCATTTGAAAAATTCCCTTTCAAGTACCAAACAAGAAAAATAATTGCTCTAATATATTGACTGCTTCTACCTTGACTGTGAACAATAAGACTAATAAATATATTTTAAATAATATCCATTATGAAGTCATTGTTGCTTTTTAAGTAATGGAAAATTAACATATGTCTACAGTAAAAAAATTTAAATAATGCAGAAATGTGTAAGAAAAAAAAAATCAGAACTCTTCTCCACTTGTAGCTTGTTTGGTTTTTCAGTACTTTTTCTCGCTATATTCCATTGAGTCTGAATTGACTGATGGCTGAGCCTCCGGTGGGTTTTCAGAGGCTATAAATTGCATGGGAGGAGACTGCTCACCTCTCTCCCCTGGTACACAGCTGGTGGATTTGAATTGCATGCTGTATGTTGGCAGTGCAACTCCTTACCACTAGGCCACAGTATATAATGTACATCTCTTTCCATGTAAGCATATTTTGTATCATTGTAAACTATAACAAACATACACAAAATATGTTTTACACATACAAAATATGTGTAAAACATAAATGTAAATTTTAGCAAATTGTAAAACTTAAAAGATAAATGGAGTATTATTAGTACTTTAGAAGTCTTCTGCTTGGTTTTACCTGATTGTAACTCTTTTCTCAGTGGCATCTACCCTGGTTGTTATTGTTGTTAGGTGCCTTCGAGTTGCGTATAACCCATAGGTACCCTCTGAGCAAAAGGTCTGAACTCTTTCCTATCCTGAGCCATCCTCACACTTTCTGACACACTCAAGCCGTTGCAGCAGTCTCTGTGTCAGTCCTTCTAGTCATTTAACCTTAGTTAAGTTTTATATACTTACTACGTAATTGCACATCCTACTATGTAAATGACTTCTTTCACTCAGTGTTATTTTTTTTTTTTTTGCGTGTAATTTATAGCATTATCTTCTAAGGTAGTGCCATTTATTAGTTCTGTGCTAGATGAATATTTGAGCATATTGACAGTGTTGCTATGAACGTTTATATACTAGACTGTTTTTCAAAGTGATGGAACCAATATATATTCCCATCAGCACTGTATGAGGGGCCCTAGTCTTCGCATCTGCTCCACTACTTGGTATTGTTAGATTTTTGCTCTGGGGGTTAATGGTAAGGAATTGCACTGCCAGCGGAAAGGTACTGGCTTAGAATCTGCTGGCTGCTCCGTCAAGAAAGAGGGGCCCTCTTTTCCCACGAGATTTACTACCTCTGAAAACCCACTCGAGGGGCAGCTGAGAGTCAGTTCTGATCAGTGATACACACAAGAAGTGAGGAGTTAGCACCATCTCCTTGGTGAATTTTAGTTCTTTTAGCAAGTGAGGTTGAATACGTATGTTTGGCCATTTGAATTTCCTCTTTTGTGTGATGTGTCTGTTCAAATATTAGTTGTCTGTGTTTTTCTTTGATTTAATATACTTATTTGCTCACAAAGTTAGTATACATTGTGTTTCACCCTCTTCGTAGTCATTGTGTTTCATACCATGCATTATGTTTTATAAAATCAATCACCATTGGACCCTGCCCATCATTACTCAATCTTTTCAGGTCTGTTTGGATCCTTCCCATTTCATTCACTCCCTCCCAAACTGTAAAAACCTGTGGTTTCACCTTTTCACTTCTTATGGATCCTTTTGGGAAATAGAAAATCATTAGGAAGACTTAACTAGTTTTTTTCCCTTGCTTTTGTCTTCATGGGCAGGGAGAAAAGTGTGCAACAATGACTGAATGGAAATTTGAAGTCTTTGTAAACTTTCATTAAAATAATAAAAAACAAAAAAACCCTAACATCATGAAGAAACCGACCTCGACTCCGCCTTAGGGTGACCACTTGTGTAATGTGGCAGGACTGTATGCTCCATCATGTTTTCGGTGGCTGATCCTTGGAAATAGGTTGCTGGCCCTTTCATTTGAGTGCTTCTGGGTGGCCTTGAACCTCCAGCTTTTCATTAGCAGCTAAGTGCATTAGTCATTTGCATCACTCACTGAGTCCATGCAGCTGTGCCTTAGAAGAAAGGCTTGATGGCCTGCTTTTGAGCTGTAGTGGACTTGATGATGGTTAATTTTGAAAGTTCCAAAGATAATTTCTTATTTTTTGAAATTTTACCATTTTGTAATTTACACAGTTAGGCTCTTAAGCTTTCTGAACTTGATTTTTGTATGTGGGTGAGGCTGTTATTATTGTTAGACGCCATCAAATTGCTTCCAACTCAGCAGCTTTGTCCAGGAGAGCAAAATGCTGTCCGTCACTGCACCACGCTG